AATTGGCAGGAAGTTGTCACGTGGTTAGATACATATTTATGCTAAGTTCTGTTGACGTAGGTATAAGGGTCGTCATTTAAGAGCAAGTTGAAGGTATTTCGCCATTTTCTTGAAAATCGCGAATTTGGAGGGCAATTTTCTCAAATTTGGTCAGTGTTAGGGTATATAATTTTGCATTTGGCTGGAAAGGGCATATCTTCAAGTATCTAAATCCAAAAAAAAAGGTACGGGTTTGCCCAGAAGCGATGGAGATATTGCCACAGAGAGAAAGCCAATTCCAAGAATTTTAGAGGGCGCCATTTATTTTCTGAAGATTTATTAGAGCGTGAAATTCAGCATCATATGGCTTTGTGCAATTATGAGATAAAGATACTGGAAGAAATTGAGACGAAAGGGAAATGGTATGAGAAAGTTGTGGCAATTTTTAGATTTGTAGGGGTCAATATTCTTTTTAAAAGAGATTTTGCACGGAGTCGGTTTTGAATTTCCAGTGCGAAGATGGCATTTTAAAGGTCAGGTTATGTGTCGCAGATGAAAGAACATATCTTGGACTATTTAGATGAATTTGTTAGAACTCTGAAATATCTAGGATAGTGGAGATAGGAAGGAAGAAAGAAAGGCCTTAAAACGGACCAGAAACGAACAAAATGGCGCCTGGACGGTTTATGTTAGATATTGTTTCGAAACGAAAGACTAAGAAAAGTTCGGGCCATGATGAAATAAATAATTTCATTTTAAAGGGCATTTTATCTTCCGTTGTGGATCCTCTCGTTCATATTATTAATTTGTCTTTATTAAATGGTCAGGTACCCACTTCTTTAAAAGTTGCTTAGGTAATTCCTTTGTTAAAAAGAGTGATAAATTTGATGTTAGGAATTGTCGTTCCATTTCTTTATTGTCCTCTTTTTCGAACATTTTTGAAAAGATAATTTATATTCCGACAGCATGTTTTTTTTTTAATCATAATTTTGTTGGTAATCTCCAATTTGGTTTTGGGGAAAAACATAATACTGTATACTCATTATGGTCTTTTATTGAGAAAGTAGCTCATTCCATTGACAAATCTTCTCATATGTTTGGTATTTTCCTGGACTTCTCCAAGGCCTTCGACACGATTAACCACGATATTATATTTTATAAACTTTCACGTTATGGTGTACGTGGGATGGCCTTGGAGTGGTTCAGGAGCTATCTTTCGGATAGAAAGCAGTACGTTCTTTTAAATGACAACTCCTCAGATCTTCGTAATATAAATTGTGGTTTTCCACAAGGTACCATATTAGGCCCACTCTTATTTATTGTATATATTAATGACTTTTGTCGATCGTCTGACATTTTGTCCTTGGTACTTTTTAAAATGCAAATTAATTTTTTTCTCACAAAGACTCTCATAGATTAGTTTAAATAATTAATATTGAAATGTGTAATATTTTATTGTGGATAAGAGCGAACAATTATCTTTGAATCTTCAGAAAACGAAGTATATTTTTTATATTTAGTGAATCTATAAATTAATTTCTAGCAAACATAGTTTTTGTTTAAATACCCTATTGGAGTGTGTATCTATTAATATTTTTTTTTGGTGTTAAGGTTGACAAAAAGCTTGGAAAAATCACGCTGACAATATTTTGTAAAAAAAAATCCCGAAATATTGGTATTATTTTCATCTTAATTCCTTAATTATGCTTTATAGTTCTTTGATTCTTCCATACTTGAACTACGGTCTCTTAGTTTGGGGTAACACACATCAAACGCCACTAGATAAAGTGTTGTTATTACAAAAGAAGATCATTCGTATTATTTGCAATTCCCCCTTTCACTCCAATACAGACTCTTTATCTTTTGAAAATAAGATACTAAATGTAAAAGACTTATATATTTTTTTCCAACTATGTCAATTTATGTATAATTATAAAAATGTTATGTTGCCATCTGTTTTTCAAGAAATGTTTTTTTTTAATAGTTCAGTTCATAATTACCCAACAAGACATTTGGACGATTTTCATTTACTTTTCTTGCAGACCCTCTTTAATAGCTCAAAAAACATTTGTATATGAAGATCAAAAGTTTTGGAATTCTTTATGTAATGAAATAAAGAAATGCTCCATCGATTAATACTTTTAAGACAAAAATTGAAGTTGTTTTTATTAAAATAATATAAACCTCATTGAATTATATGTCGTTTTTTTTTTTTTTTTTAAATACAAGATCATTCTCCACTCGCTGACTCAAAATGTAATTTGATATATTATATTGTGCCTTCTCATGCTTATCTCCTTTCTAATGCACATTTCTCTGTCCTCATCTTCTTCTCAACCCACATTCAGCTCATCATTTTGTATTATTTGCTGTACCCCCGATCTCTCACTTCTTGTTGTCATTGTCTACTCTTTGTGTTATGACCGTGTTCTTCTATATTTTTCATGTCAAGCATTGTCTTGTCCCTTTCTCGTCTCTGTTGGCATCCCCCATTCCCCCTAGTTTATAGTTCCTTTCGTAGTTTCGGACTTGTTAATTTAATTACTCATTATTCCTGAGTATCATTTCAGGTGTTCATACTTGTACAAGATTTGCTTTTTAGTATACCCCTCTCTGTATTTTTTTTCTTCTTTTGTTACCCTTTATCTATAATTTTTTAATAAGCAAGGATGTATTGCAAATCTCGAACAGTGTATGTATGTATTTAGGCATGTAATTTGATTCGACCTTATAGCTTACCTGTTTCACACATAATCCGAGTATAGCAATTAACACAGATACAAGTAAAGGAGTTAAATAAATCAGCGCAACTTCCTTCATTCATACAAGGATCTCTATCACATTCGTCGATATCAGTGCAAATTAAGTTCCAAAGACAATGAATGGGATAAAAAGGGATAAGAAAATGTTTTCCTTTTTTGACATATTTTTCTTTATTTGGCGGTTGACAGAAACATGAAGTCAAAACTGATATTCTACATGCAAAATAATGACAGTTGAGGAATTTGTTAATTCATACATAGAACCCATTAATAAATATGTTTAATGAGATAGAGTAACTGAATATTTGTTTTGAATTTCGTATTTTTTCAAAATTTTTAGCCTTAGATAGCAAATATATTCTTGATAAAATGTATTTTTGATGAAGTTTCATGTGCTCCTGCAAGAAAAAAGGGAACATATGGAAACGTTGTATCATCCGCTCAATCTGACTTGCGTGCATTGAACAAATTAGCATTTTTCCATGGAAAAGTGAAGTTTTCTAAAATGTGCGTTTATTTCCAGCATTGGGGCGCCCGGGAGTCACTCGGGTAACATTTCATAAAGTATAATTTAAAAAGACCATCTGCAAATTTTCTGTACTTTTGTCGGAAAAAATAGATTTATCCAGCGCAATGTCGTCTCTTTTTGCGTTGGAGAAGAGCAAAAAGCGTGTTTCAATCATACTTTGGCCGCTCTCGCAAGCTCTCACTCGTTTCACTGTGGTCAAGCCACGTTTGGGCAAGCGGTTAATGAAAATACTAATCGTTAGCTTTCTTCTGGTATTTAACTTGTTTTGATTGATTGTATAATGTTGTCGGAATAAGGGAAACAAAAAGGCTTGACCAATAACTTATCAGCGTCTGAATTGACCGTTTGACCTTGAATTCCCCCGTTGCAAGCGCACATAAACAGGTTATAATGACGTCATCTTCGCTCAATCGGTATCTTTTATCGTAAAATGCTACACTTTCACAATGTTTATACATCTGTTTTAATTATTAGTAAGATGTTACATATTTTGTCTGATATCACTGAAGTTTTGAGTTTTATTTAATGAGTAATTTTAAAATAAGAGCCATTTTAATGTTTAATTTACTGGATCGTACCATTAAAGTCGCAGGGTAGAAAGATGCATTTTCCAACCACGCCAAATTTAATTTACGTTCCGACATTCTGTTAAATGGGTTCGTGCTGTAAAGAATCCACTGCTTTCTGCTCCACCAAACGTCCACATGCGGAATCGTTTATCAACTAAATTATTCAAATTTATGGATGCTTCCTTCACAGGTGTTTGTGTTGTTGAAGCATTGCATTCACGTGCTATCATTCTTTGTACTCCAATTGCCAGAACGCAAATTACATTTTGGTTTTATAGTTTTCATGCGGAGTCGTTTATCAACTATATGTATTCAAATTTATGAATGCTTCCTTCTCAGGGGTGGGTGTTTATGCATTTCATTCACCTGTTATTATTCTTTGTACTCCAATAATTTATTGTTAGAATACAAAATGCATTTTGTTTTTATAGTTTCATTCAATAAGTAAGTCAATAAAACAGTTTGTTCTGCACAATAAAAAACAATGTGTGTCCCTATTGTACAATGTAATGTGTCCCCTCATTTTGTAATAGTTAATATACCCATTCACATAATGGAACTACCTGCCCGGTGAAGCCAGTGGCCCGTGACCCCTGAGCACTCAACACCGTGTGGGAGTCAGTTTATGGTCAACTTCTTTTATGATACAAATCAAAGCAAACGTTTCCATATGGGAAAGCAAAAATCTTCCATTTCGAGATTACAAATCATCCAATGGACGGTCTTAGTTTGAAGACACCTTAGGTCCAACAGTTGAATCTGTATGATATGGATGGAAAATGCTGCTCTTATTGCACCCTTATTTTTCTCATATTTATTGAGATCCCTGTGGGAAACACAATATCAATGCTGTTTTTAAATGACCTTGCACTCCTATTATCGATATGTCTACTCGAAAGCACAAGAAGAGTAGTTACTCTCATTACTGCTCCAAAATATACAAAACACCCTAGCGTCTTTTGCCTGTACTCTCACTTCTGTTTACTCTAGATTATTAAAGAACATTTTCAAAGATTTTTCACCGCAATTACGTGATGTTTATTTGTTTCTTCTTTTGTTACCCTTTATCTATAATTTTGAAATAAGCAAGGAGGTATTGCATTACTCTAACGATGTATTTAAGTATTTAGGCATGTAATTTGATTCGACCTAATGGCTTACCTGTTTCACACCTAGTCCCAGTATAGCCATCAGCACAAGTACAAGTATATGAGTTTACTTCATCAGCGCAACGTCCTCCTTGCAAACAAGGAGCGCTCGCACATTCGTCAATATCTGTGCAAATTGAGTTTTAAAGACAATAAGTGTGATAAAAGTCATGAGAAAATAATTTCCTTTTTGACATATTTTTCTTTATTTGGCGAATGACAGGAAAATGATGTCAGAACTGATATTCTACATGCAAAATAATGACAGTTAATGAATTTGTTAATTCTTACATGAAATCCATTAGTAAATATATTAAGTGAGAAAAAGTAACTGAATATTTCTTTTTGATTTTTGTAAATGAAAACTAGAAACAATCAACAAGAAATTAAAAAAATTGTACACACAAAAGTTTATTGGAAATGTCAACATTCATTGCTATTTTGTTTATAAAAGTTAAATGTCTATTTAAGATTAAGAGCATCATGGATCAAAAAAAGTTTAAAGATGTCTCTAAAAGGTGGTACCAAATTGATAATACATCCTTACCATTGCAAGAACTGCCATCGACGTCTAGTACATATCCAGAATTACATGAACAGACGTAAGAGCCGACTGAGTTCGTACACATTCCATTTACGGCATCACAGTTCGATGAATCGGCGCATTCGTCCACATCTAGGTAAAGTAAAACATTTACTTACCATTAGCAGTAACAAATTTTCTAAAAGTCTAGATAAATCAGCTTTCCTCTTGAATTGCCATCAATTATTTGTAGTTTAAAACGCTCAAGGAGTATGAAAGCGAAAACGGATGTGCACTGACGGTTATTAAATGCAAACTACAAACAATCAACAAGAAATTAAAAAAATTGTACACGAACAAATTAATTGGAAATGTCACCATCCATTGCTAATTTAAAAGGTTAAATTTCTATTCATGACTAAATCGTTATTATCAATGGAACAGTGTAATAGACTTTAACAGAAATGGATTTTAATTTTAAGGTGTGTTTTTGATTTTGTGATCATGCACTACTGGTATTAAAGTCAGAGCATCATGGATCAAAAGAAGTTTAAAGATGTCTCTAAAAGGTGACACAAAATTGATAATACAACCTTACCATTGCACGAACGGCCATCGGCGTCTAGTACAAATCCAGAGTTACATGAACAGGCGTAAGAGCCGACTGAGTTCGTACACATTCCATTGACGGCATCACAGGTCGATGAATCGGCGCATTCGTCCACATCTAGGTAAGGTAAACAATTTGTTTACCATTATCAGTCAAAACTTTTCTAAACGTCTAGAAGAATCAGTTTTCTTCTATAATTGGCAACAATTATTTAAAGTTCCACTCGGTCAAGGAGTTTGAAAGCGTAAATGGATGTGTAATTATGGTGTGTAAATGAAAACAGCAAACAATCACCAACAAATTTAATAATTTCTACACGGAAAAATTGATTCGAAAAAATGTCACCATCCATTGCTAATTTAGAAAGTTAAATGACTATTTAAGATTTAATCGTTATCATTAATGAAACAGTGTAATGTACTGTAACAGAAATGGATTTTAATTTTAAGGTGTGTTTTTGATTTCGTGATTATGCACTACTTGTATTAAAGTCAGAGCATCATGGATCAAAGGAAGTTTAAAGATGTCTTTAAAAGGTGGCACCAAATTAATAATACATCCTTACCATTGCAAGAACTGCCATCGGCGTCTAGTACAAATCCAAAGTTACATGAACAGAGGTAAGAGCCGACTGAGTTCGTACACATTCCATTTACGGCATCACAGGTCGATGAATCGGCGCATTCGTCCACATCTAGGTAAAGTAAACGATTTGTTTACCATTATCAGTCAAAAATTTCTAAAAGTCTAGAAGAATCAGTTTTCTTCTTTAATTGGCAACAATTATTCAAAGTTCCACTCGCTCAAGGAGTTTGAAAGCGAAAATGAACGTGTAATTATGGTGTGTAAATGAAAACAAACGAACAATCAACAACAAATTTAATAACTTCTACACGGAAAAATTGATTCGAAAAAATGTCACCATCCATTGCTAATTTAAACATTTAAATGGCTATTTAAGATTAAATCGTTATCATTAATGAAACAGTGTAATGTACTGTAACAGAAATGGATTATATTTTTAAGGTGTGTTTTTGATTTTGTGATCATGCACTACTTTTATTAAAGTCAGAGCATCATGGATCAAAAGAAGTTAAAAGATGTCTCTAAAAGGTGGCACCAAATTGATAATACATCCTTACCATAGCAAGAACTGCCATCGGCGTCTAGTTCAAATCCAGAATTACATGAACAGGCGTAAGAGCCGACTGAGTTCGTACACATCTCATTGACGGCATCACAGGTCGATGAATCGGCGCATTCGTCCACATCTAGGTAAAGTAAACAATTTGTTTACCATTATCAGTCAAAACTTTTCCAAAAGTCTAGAAGAATCAGTTTTCTTCTTTAATTGGCAACGATTATTAAAAGTTCCACTCGCTCAAGGAGTTTGAAAGCGAAAATGGATGTGTAATTATGGTGTGTAAATGAAAACAACATACAATCAACAACAAATTTAATAACTTCTACACGGACGAATTGATTCGAAAAAATGTCACCATCCATTGCTAATTTAAAAAGTTAAATGTCTATTTAAGATTAAATCGTTATCATTAATGAAACAGTGTAATGTATGGTAAAAGAAATTGATTTTAATTTGAAGGTGTGTTTTTGATTTCGTGATCATGCACTACTTGTATTAAAGTCAGAGCATCATGGATCAAAAGAAGTTTAAAGATGTCTCTAAAAGGTGAAACAAAATTGATAATACATCCTTACCATTGCACGAACTGCCATCGGCGTCTAGTAAAAATCCAGAGTTACATGAACAGGCGTAAGAGCCGACTGAGTTCGTACACATTCCATTGACGGCATCACAGGTCGATGAATCGGCGCATTCGTCCACATCTAGGTAAAGTAAACGATTTGTTTACCATTATCAGTCAAAACTTTTCTAAACGTCTAGAAGAATCAGTTTTCTTCTTTAATTAAAAACAATTATTTAAAGTTCCACTCGGTCAAGGAGTTTGAAAGCGTAAATGGATGTGTAATTATGGTGTGTAAATGAAAACAGCAAGCAATCAACAACAAATTTAATAATTTCTACACGGAAAAATTGATTCGAAAAAATGTCACCATCCATTGCTAATTTAAAAAGTTAAATGTCTATTTAAGATTAAATCGTTATCATTAATGAATCAGTGTAATGTACTGTAACAGAAATGGATTTTAATTTAGGTGTGTTCTTGATTTCGTGATTATGCACAACTTGTATTAAAGTCAGAGCATCATGGATCAAAATAAGTTTAAAGATGTCTCTAAAAGGTGGCACCAAATTGATAATACATCCTTACCATTGCAAGTACGGCCATCGCTCGCGTCTAGTAAATATCCAGTGGTACATGTACAGGTGTAAGAGCCGCCTATGTTCGTACACCCTCCATTTACATCATCACAGATCAATGGATCGACGCATTCGTCCACATCTAGGTAAAGTAAACAATATGTTTACCATTATCAGTCAATTTTTTTCTAAACGTCTAGAAAAATCAGTTTTCTTCTTGAATTGGCAACAATAATTTAAAGTTCCACTCGCTCAAGGGGTTTGAAAGCGAAAATGGATGTGTAATTATGGTGTGTAAATGAAAATAGCAAACAATCAACAACAAATTTAATAATTTCTACACGGAAAAATTGATTCGAAAAAATGTCACCATCCAATGCTAATTTAAAAAGTTAAATGTTTCTTTAAGATGAAATCGTTATCATTAATGAAGCAGTGTGATGTACTGTAACAGAAATGGATTTTAATTTTAAACCAGTTCTTGATTTCGTGATCACGCACTACTTGTATTAGAGTCAGAGCATCATGGATCAAAAGAAGTTTAAAGATGTCTCTAAAAGGTGGCATCAAATTGATAATACATCCTTACCATTGCAAGTACGGCCATCGCTCGCGTCTAGTAAATATCCAGTGGTACATGTACAGGTGTAGGAGCCGCCTATGTTCGTACACCCTCCATTTACGTCATCACAGATCAATGGATCGACGCATTCGTCCACATCTAGGTAAAGTAAACAATATGTTTACCATTATCAGTCAATTTTTTTCTAAACGTCTAGAAGAATCAGTTTTCTTCTTGAATTGGCAACAATTATTTAAAGTTCCACTCGCTCAAGGAGTTTGAAAGCGAAAATGGATGTGTAATTATGGTGTGTAAATGAAAATAGCAAACAATCAACAACAAATTTAATAATTTCAACACGGAAAAATTGATTCGAAAAAATGTCACCATCCAATGCTAATTTAAAAAGTTAACTGTTTCTTTCAGATGAAATCGTTATCATTAATGAAGCATTGTGATGTACTGTAACAGAAATGGATTTTAATTTTAAACCAGTTCTTGATTTCGTGATCACGCACTACTTGTATTAAAGTCAGAGCATCATGGATCAAAAGAAGTTTAAAGATGTCTCTAAAAGGTGGCACCAAATTGATAATACATCCTTACCACTGCAAGCATTGGGATCGGTCGTGTCTTCTTCATATCCAGAGTTACATGTACAGCTGTAAGAGCCATCTGTGTTCAAACACCCTCCATTTACTTGATCACAGTTCGATGAATCGTCGCATTCGTTCACGTCTAGGTAAAGTAAACAATATGTTTACCATTATCAGTCAAAACTTGTCTAAACGTCTAGAAGAATCAGTTTTCTTCTTTAATTGGCAACAATTATTTAAAGTTCCACTCGCTCAAGGAGTTTGAAAGCGAAAATGGATGTGTAATTATGGTGTGTAAATGGAAGCAGCAAACAATCAACAACAAATTTCATCAGTTCTACACGGAAAAGTTGATTCGAAAAAATGTCACCATCCATTGCTAATTTAAAAAGTGAAATGTCTACTTAAGATTAAATCGTTATCATTCAAGAAACAGCTACAGTAAAGTACAGTAACAGGAATGGGTTTTAATTTTAAACCGGTTCTTGATTTCGTGATCATGCACTACTTGTATTAAAGTCAGAGCATCATGGATCAAAAGAAGTTTAAAGATGTCTCTAAAAGGTGGCACCAAATTGATAATACATCCTTACCACTGCAAGCATTGGGATCGGTCGTGTCTTCTTCATATCCAGAGTTACATGTACAGCTGTAAGAGCCATCTGTGTTCAAACACCCTCCATTTACTCGATCACAGTTCGATGAATCGTCGCATTCGTTCACGTCTAGGTAAAGTAAACAATATGTTTACCATTATCAGTCAAAACTTGTCTAAACGTCTAGAAGAATCAGTTTTCTTCTTTAATAGGCAACAATTATTTAAAGTTCCACTCGCTCAAGGAGTTTGAAAGCGAAAATGGATGTGTAATTATGGTGTGTAAATGGAAGCAGCAAACAATCAACAACAAATTTCGTCAGTTCTACACGGAAAAGTTGATTCGAAAAAATGTCACCATCCATTGCTAATTTAAAAAGTGAAATGTCTACTTCAGATTAAATCGTTATCATTCAAGAAACAGCTACAGTAAAGTACTGTAACAGGAATGGGTTTTAATTTTAAACCGGTTCTTGATTTCGTGATCATGCACTACTTGTATTAAAGTCAGATCATCATGGATCAAAAGAAGTTTAAAGATGTCTCTAAAAGGTGGCACCAAATTGATAATACATCCTTACCACTGCAAGCATTGGGATCGGTCGTGTCTTCTTCATATCCAGAGTTACATGTACAGCTGTAAGAGCCATCTGTGTTCAAACACCCTCCATTTACTCGATCACAGTTCGATGAATCGTCGCATTCGTTCACGTCTAGGTAAAGTAAACAATATGTTTACCATTATCAGTCAAAACTTGTCTAAACGTCTAGAAGAATCAGTTTTCTTCTTTAATTGGCAACAATTATTTAAAGTTCCACTCGCTCAAGGAGTTTGAAAGCGAAAATGGATGTGTAATTATGGTGTGTAAATGGAAGCAGCAAACAATCAACAACAAATTTCGTCAGTTCTACACGGAAAAGTTGATTCGAAAAAATGTCACCATCCATTGCTAATTTAAAAAGTGAAATGTCTACTTAAGATTAAATCGTTATCATTCAAGAAACAGCTACAGTAAAGTACTGTAACAGGAATGGGTTTTAATTTTAAACCGGTTCTTGATTTCGTGATCATGCACTACTTGTATTAAAGTCAGAGCATCATGGATGAAAAGAAGTTTAAAGATGTCTCTAAAAGGTGGCACCAAATTGATAATACATCCTTACCACTGCAAGCATTGGGATCGGTCGTGTCTTCTTCATATCCAGAGTTACATGTACAGCTGTAAGAGCCATCTGTGTTCAAACACCCTCCATTTACTCGATCACAGTTCGATGAATCGTCGCATTCGTTCACGTCTAGGTAAAGTAAACAATATGTTTACCATTATCAGTCAAAACTTGTCAAAACGTCTAGAAGAATCAGTTTTCTTCTTTAATTGGCAACAATTATTTAAAGTTCCACTCGCTCAAGGAGTTTGAAAGCGAAAATGGATGTGTAATTATGGTGTGTAAATGGAAGCAGCAAACAATCAACAACAAATTTCGTCAGTTCTACACGGAAAAGTTGATTCGAAAAAATGTCACCATCCATTGCTAATTTAAAAAGTGAAATGTCTACTTAAGATTAAATCGTTATCATTCAAGAAACAGCTACAGTAAAGTACTGTAACAGGAATGGGTTTTAATTTTAAACCGGTTCTTGATTTCGTGATCATGCACTACTTGTATTAAAGTCAGAGCATCATGGATCAAAAGAAGTTTTAAGATGTCTCTAAAAGGTGGCACCAAATTGATAATACATCCTTACCACTGCAAGCATTGGGATCGGTCGTGTCTTCTTCATATCCAGAGTTACATGTACAGCTGTAAGAGCCATCTGTGTTCAAACACCCTCCATTTACTTGATCACAGTTCGATGAATCGTCGCATTCGTTCACGTCTAGGTAAAGTAAACAATATGTTTACCATTATCAGTCAAAACTTGTCTAAACGTCTAGAAGAATCAGTTGTCTTCTTTAATTGGCAACAATTATTTAAAGTTCCACTCGCTCAAGGAGTTTGAAAGCGAAAATGGATGTGTAATTATGGTGTGTAAATGGAAGCAGCAAACAATCAACAACAAATTTCATCAGTTCTACACGGAAAAGTTGATTCGAAAAAATGTCACCATCCATTGCTAATTTAAAAAGTGAAATGTCTACTTAAGATTAAATCGTTATCATTCAAGAAACAGCTACAGTAAAGTACTGTAACAGGAATGGGTTTTAATTTTAAACCGGTTCTTGATTTCGTGATCATGCAATACTTGTATTAAAGTCAGAGCATCATGGATCAAAAGAAGTTTAAAGATGTCTCTAAAAGGTGGCACCAAATTGATAATACATCCTTACCACTGCAAGCATTGGGATCGGTCGTGTCTTCTTCATATCCAGAGTTACATGTACAGCTGTAAGAGCCATCTGTGTTCAAACACCCTCCATTTACTCGATCACAGTTCGATGAATCGTCGCATTCGTTCACGTCTAGGTAAAGTAAACAATATGTTTACCATTATCAGTCAAAACTTGTCAAAACGTCTAGAAGAATCAGTTTTCTTCTTTAATTGGCAACAATTATTTAAAGTTCCACTCGCTCAAGGAGTTTGAAAGCGAAAATGGATGTGTAATTATGGTGTGTAAATGGAAGCAGCAAACAATCAACAACAAATTTCGTCAGTTCTACACGGAAAAGTTGATTCGAAAAAATGTCACCATCCATTGCTAATTTAAAAAGTGAAATGTCTACTTAAGATTAAATCGTTATCATTCAAGAAACAGCTACAGTAAAGTACTGTAACAGGAATGGGTTTTAATTTTAAACCGGTTCTTGATTTCGTGATCATGCACTACTTGTATTAAAGTCAGAGCATCATGGATGAAAAGAAGTTTAAAGATGTCTCTAAAAGGTGGCACCAAATTGATAATACATCCTTACCACTGCAAGCATTGGGATCGGTCGTGTCTTCTTCATATCCAGAGTTACATGTACAGCTGTAAGAGCCATCTGTGTTCAAACACCCTCCATTTACTCGATCACAGTTCGATGAATCGTCGCATTCGTTCACGTCTAGGTAAAGTAAACAATATGTTTACCATTATCAGTCAAAACTTGTCAAAACGTCTAGAAGAATCAGTTTTCTTCTTTAATTGGCAACAATTATTTAAAGTTCCACTCGCTCAAGGAGTTTGAAAGCGAAAATGGATGTGTAATTATGGTGTGTAAATGGAAGCAGCAAACAATCAACAACAAATTTCATCAGTTCTACACGGAAAAGTTGATTCGAAAAAATGTCACCATCCATTGCTAATTTAAAAAGTGAAATGTCTACTTAAGATTAAATCGTTATCATTCAAGAAACAGCTACAGTAAAGTACTGTAACAGGAATGGGTTTTAATTTTAAACCGGTTCTTGATTTCGTGATCATGCACTACTTGTATTAAAGTCAGAGCATCATGGATCAAAAGAAGTTTTAAGATGTCTCTAAAAGGTGGCACCAAATTGATAATACATCCTTACCACTGCAAGCATTGGGATCGGTCGTGTCTTCTTCATATCCAGAGTTACATGTACAGCTGTAAGAGCCATCTGTGTTCAAACACCCTCCATTTACTTGATCACAGTTCGATGAATCGTCGCATTCGTTCACGTCTAGGTAAAGTAAACAATATGTTTACCATTATCAGTCAAAACTTGTCTAAACGTCTAGAAGAATCAGTTTTCTTCTTTAATTGGCAACAATTATTTAAAGTTCCACTCGCTCAAGGAGTTTGAAAGCGAAAATGGATGTGTAATTATGGTGTGTAAATGGAAGCAGCAAACAATCAACAACAAATTTCATCAGTTCTACACGGAAAAGTTGATTCGAAAAAATGTCACCATCCATTGCTAATTTAAAAAGTGAAATGTCTACTTAAGATTAAATCGTTATCATTCAAGAAACAGCTACAGTAAAGTACTGTAACAGGAATGGGTTTTAATTTTAAACCGGTTCTTGATTTCGTGATCATGCAATACTTGTATTAAAGTCAGAGCATCATGGATCAAAAGAAGTTTAAAGATGTCTCTAAAAGGTGGCACCAAATTGATAATACATCCTTACCACTGCAAGCATTGGGATCGGTCGTGTCTTCTTCATATCCAGAGTTACATGTACAGCTGTAAGAGCCATCTGTGTTCAAACACCCTCCATTTACTCGATCACAGTTCGATGAATCGTCGCATTCGTTCACGTCTAGGTAAAGTAAACAATATGTTTACCATTATCAGTCAAAACTTGTCTAAACGTCTAGAAGAATCAGTTTTCTTCTTTAATTGGCAACAATTATTTAAAGTTCCACTCGCTCAAGGAGTTTGAAAGCGAAAATGGATGTGTAATTATGGTGTGTAAATGGAAGCAGCAAACAATCAACAACAAATTTCATCAGTTCTACACGGAAAAGTTGATTCGAAAAAATGTCACCATCCATTGCTAATTTAAAAAGTGAAATGTCTACTTAAGATTAAATCGTTATCATTCAAGAAACAGCTACAGTAAAGTACTGTAACAGGAATGGGTTTTAATTTTAAACTGGTTCTTGATTTCGTGATCATGCACTACTTGTATTAAAGTCAGAGCATCATGGATCAAAAGAAGTTTAAGGATGTCTCTAAAAGGTGGCACCAAATTGATAATACATCCTTACCACTGCAAGCATTGGGATCGGTCGTGTCTTCTTCATATCCAGAGTTACATGTACAGCTGTAAGAGCCATCTGTGTTCAAACACCCTCCATTTACTCGATCACAGTTCGATGAATCGTCGCATTCGTTCACGTCTAGGTAAAGTAATCAATATGTTTACCATTATCAGTCAAAACTTGTCTAAACGTCTAGAAGAATCAGTTTTCTTCTTTAATTGGCAACAATTATTTAAAGTTCCACTCGCTCAAGGAGTTTGAAAGCGAAAATGGATGTGTAATTATGGTGTGTAAATGGAAGCAGCAAACAATCAACAACAAATTTCGTCAGTTCTACACGGAAAAGTTGATTTGAAAAAATGTCACCATCCATTGCTAATTTAAAAAGTGAAATGTCTACTTAAGATTAAATCGTTATCATTCAAGAAACAGCTACAGTAAAGTACTGTAACAGGAATGGGTTTTAATTTTAAACCGGTTCTTGATTTCGTGATCATGCACTACTTGTATTAAAGTCAGAGCATCATGGATCAAAAGAAGTTTAAAGATGTCTCTAAAAGGTGGCACCAAATTGATAATACATCCTTACCACTGCAAGCATTGGGATCGGTCGTGTCTTCTTCATATCCAGAGTTACATGTACAGCTGTAAGAGCCATCTGTGTTCAAACACCCTCCATTTACTCGATCACAGTTCGATGAATCGTCGCATTCGTTCACGTCTAGGTAAAGTAAACAATATGTTTACCATTATCAGTCAAAACTTGTCTAAACGTCTAGAAGAATCAGTTTTCTTCTTTAATTGGCAACAATTATTTAAAGTTCCACTCGCTCAAGGAGTTTGAAAGCAAAAACGGATGTGTAATTATGGTGTGTAAATGGAAGCAGCAAACAATCAACAACAAATTTCTTCAGTTCTACACGGAAAAGTTGATTCGAAAAAATGTCACCATCCATTGCTAATTTAAAAAGTGAAATGTCTACTTAAGATTAAATCGTTATCATTCAAGAAACAGCTACAGTAAAGTACTGTAACAGGAATGGGTTTTAATTTTAAACCGGTTCTTGATTTCGTGATCATGCACTACTTGTATTAAAGTCAGAGCATCATGGATGAAAAGAAGTTTAAAGATGTTTCTAAAAGGTGGCACCAAATTGATAATACATCCTTACCACTGCAAGCATTGGGATCGGTCGTGTCTTCTTCATATCCAGAGTTACATGTACAGCTGTAAGAGCCATCTGTGTTCAAACACCCTCCATTTACTCGATCACAGTTCGATGAATCGTCGCATTCGTTCACGTCTAGGTAAAGTAAACAATATGTTTACCATTATCAGTCAAAACTTGTCAAAACGTCTAGAAGAATCAGTTTTCTTCTTTAATTGGCAACAATTATTTAAAGTTCCACTCGCTCAAGGAGTTTGAAAGCGAAAATGGATGTGTAATTATGGTGTGTAAATGGAAGCAGCAAACAATCAACAACACATTTCATCAGTTCTACACGGAAAAGTTGATTCGAAAAAATGTCACCATCCATTGCTAATTTAAAAAGTGAAATGTCTACTTAAGATTAAATCGTTATCATTCAAGAAACAGCTACAGTAAAGTACTGTAACAGGAATGGGTTTTAATTTTAAACCGGTTCTTGATTTCGTGATCATGCACTACTTGTATTAAAGTCAGAGCATCATGGATCAAAAGAAGTTTTAAGATGTCTCTAAAAGGTGGCACCAAATTGATAATACATCCTTACCACTGCAAGCATTGGGATCGGTCGTGTCTTCTTCATATCCAGAGTTACATGTACAGCTGTAAGAGCCATCTGTGTTCAAACACCCTCCATTTACTTGATCACAGTTCGATGAATCGTCGCATTCGTTCACGTCTAGGTAAAGTAAACAATATGTTTACCATTATCAGTCAAAACTTGTCTAAACGTCTAGAAGAATCAGTTTTCTTCTTTAATTGGCAACAATTATTTAAAGTTCCACTCGCTCAAGGAGTTTGAAAGCGAAAATGGATGTGTAATTATGGTGTGTAAATGGAAGCAGCAAACAATCAACAACAAATTTCATCAGTTCTACACGGAAAAGTTGATTCGAAAAAATGTCACCATCCATTGCTAATTTAAAAAGTGAAATGTCTACTTAAGATTAAATCGTTATCATTCAAGAAACAGCTACAGTAAATTACTGTAACAGGAATGGGTTTTAATTTTTAACCGGTTCTTGATTTCGTGATCATGCACTACTTGTATTAAAGTCAGAGCATCATGGATCAAAAGAAGTTTAAGGATGTCTCTAAAAGGTGGCACCAAATTGATAATACATCCTTACCACTGCAAGCATTGGGATCGGTCGTGTCTTCTTCATATCCAGAGTTACATGTACAGCTGTAAGAGCCATCTGTGTTCAAACACCCTCCATTTACTCGATCACAGTTCGATGAATCGTCGCATTCGTTCACGTCTAGGTAAAGTAAACAATATGTTTACCATTATCAGTCAAAACCTGTCTAAACGTCTAGAAGAATCAGTTTTCTTCTTTAATTGGCAACAATTATTTAAAGTTCCACTCGCTCAAGGAGTTTGAAAGCGAAAATGGATGTGTAATTATGGTGTGTAAATGGAAGCAGCAAACAATCAACAACAAATTTCATCAGTTCTACACGGAAAAGTTGATTCGAAAAAAATGTTACCATCCATTGCTAATTTAAAAAGTGAAATGTCTACTTAAGATTAAATCGTTATCATTCAAGAAACAGCTACAGTAAAGTACTGTAACAGGAATGGGTTTTAATTTTAAACCGGTTCTTGATTTCGTGATCATGCACTACTTGTATTAAAGTCAGAGCATCATGGATCAAAAGAAGTTTTAAGATGTCTCTAAAAGGTGGCACCAAATTGATAATACATCCTTACCACTGCAAGCATTGGGATCGGTCGTGTCTTCTTCATATCCAGAGTTACATGTACAGCTGTAAGAGCCATCTGTGTTCAAACACCCTCCATTTACTCGATCACAGTTCGATGAATCGTCGCATTCGTTCACGTCTAGGTAAAGTAAACAATATGTTTACCATTATCAGTCAAAACTTGTCTAAACGTCTAGAAGAATCAGTTTTCTTCTTTAATTGGCAACAATTATTTAAAGTTCCACTCGCTCAAGGAGTTTGAAAGCAAAAACGGATGTGTAATTATGGTGTGTAAATGGAAGCAGCAAACAATCAACAACAAATTTCATCAGTTCTACACGGAAAAGTTGATTCGAAAAAATGTCACCATCCATTGCTAATTTAAAAAGTGAAATGTCTACTTAAGATTAAATCGTTATCATTCAAGAAACAGCTACAGTAAAGTACTGTAACAGGAATGGGTTTTAATTTTAAACCGGTTCTTGATTTCGTGATCATGCACTACTTGTATTAAAGTCAGAGCATCATGGATGAAAAGAAGTTTAAAGATGTTTCTAAAAGGTGGCACCAAATTGATAATACATCCTTACCACTGCAAGCATTGGGATCGGTCGTGTCTTCTTCATATCCAGAGTTACATGTACAGCTGTAAGAGCCATCTGTGTTCAAACACCCTCCATTTACTCGATCACAGTTCGATGAATCGTCGCATTCGTTCACGTCTAGGTAAAGTAAACAATATGTTTACCATTATCAGTCAAAACTTGTCAAAACGTCTAGAAGAATCAGTTTTCTTCTTTAATTGGCAACAATTATTTAAAGTTCCACTCGCTCAAGGAGTTTGAAAGCGAAAATGGATGTGTAATTATGGTGTGTAAATGGAAGCAGCAAACAATCAACAACACATTTCATCAGTTCTACACGGAAAAGTTGATTCGAAAAAATGTCACCATCCATTGCTAATTTAAAAAGTGAAATGTCTACTTAAGATTAAATCGTTATCATTCAAGAAACAGCTACAGTAAAGTACTGTAACAGGAATGGGTTTTAATTTTAAACCGGTTCTTGATTTCGTGATCATGCACTACTTGTATTAAAGTCAGAGCATCATGGATCAAAAGAAGTTTTAAGATGTCTCTAAAAGGTGGCACCAAATTGATAATACATCCTTACCACTGCAAGCATTGGGATCGGTCGTGTCTTCTTCATATCCAGAGTTACATGTACAGCTGTAAGAGCCATCTGTGTTCAAACACCCTCCATTTACTTGATCACAGTTCGATGAATCGTCGCATTCGTTCACGTCTAGGTAAAGTAAACAATATGTTTACCATTATCAGTCAAAACTTGTCAAAACGTCTAGAAGAATCAGTTTTCTTCTTTAATTGGCAACAATTATTTAAAGTTCCACTCGCTCAAGGAGTTTGAAAGCGAAAATGGATGTGTAATTATGGTGTGTAAATGGAAGCAGCAAACAATCAACAACAAATTTCATCAGTTCTACACGGAAAAGTTGATTCGAAAAAATGTCACCATCCATTGCTAATTTAAAAAGTGAAATGTCTACTTAAGATTAAATCGTTATCATTCAAGAAACAGCTACAGTAAAGTACTGTAACAGGAATGGGTTTTAATTTTTAACCGGTTCTTGATTTCGTGATCATGCACTACTTGTATTAAAGTCAGAGCATCATGGATCAAAAGAAGTTTAAGGATGTCTCTAAAAGGTGGCACCAAATTGATAATACATCCTTACCACTGCAAGCATTGGGATCGGTCGTGTCTTCTTCATATCCAGAGTTACATGTACAGCTGTAAGAGCCATCTGTGTTCAAACACCCTCCATTTACTCGATCACAGTTCGATGAATCGTCGCATTCGTTCACGTCTAGGTAAAGTAAACAATATGTTTACCATTATCAGTCAAAACCTGTCTAAACGTCTAGAAGAATCAGTTTTCTTCTTTAATTGGCAACAATTATTTAAAGTTCCACTCGCTCAAGGAGTTTGAAAGCGAAAATGGATGTGTAATTATGGTGTGTAAATGGAAGCAGCAAACAATCAACAACAAATTTCATCAGTTCTACACGGAAAAGTTGATTCGAAAAAATGTTACCATCCATTGCTAATTTAAAAAGTGAAATGTCTACTTAAGATTAAATCGTTATCATTCAAGAAACAGCTACAGTAAAGTACTGTAACAGGAATGGGTTTTAATTTTAAACCGGTTCTTGATTTCGTGATCATGCACTACTTGTATTAAAGTCAGAGCATCATGGATCAAAAGAAGTTTTAAGATGTCTCTAAAAGGTGGCACCAAATTGATAATACATCCTTACCACTGCAAGCATTGGGATCGGTCGTGTCTTCTTCATATCCAGAGTTACATGTACAGCTGTAAGAGCCATCTGTGTTCAAACACCCTCCATTTACTCGATCACAGTTCGATGAATCGTCGCATTCGTTCACGTCTATGTAAAGTAAACAATATGTTTACCATTATCAGTCAAAACTTGTCTAAACGTCTAGAAGAATCAGTTTTCTTCTTTAATTGGCAACAATTATTTAAAGTTCCACTCGCTCAAGGAGTTTGAAAGCGAAAATGGATGTGTAATTATGGTGTGTAAATGGAAGCAGCAAACAATCAACAACAAATTTCATCAGTTCTACACGGAAAAGTTGATTCGAAAAAATGTCACCATCCATTGCTGATTTAAAAAGTGAAATGTCTACTTAAGATTAAATCGTTATCATTCAAGAAACAGCTACAGTAAAGTACTGTAACAGGAATGGGTTTTAATTTTTAACCGGTTCTTGATTTCGTGATCATGCACTACTTGTATTAAAGTCAGAGCATCATGGATCAAAAGAAGTTTAAGGATGTCTCTAAAAGGTGGCACCAAATTGATAATACATCCTTACCACTGCAAGCATTGGGATCGGTCGTGTCTTCTTCATATCCAGAGTTACATGTACAGCTGTAAGAGCCATCTGTGTTCAAACACCCTCCATTTACTCGATCACAGTTCGATGAATCGTCGCATTCGTTCACGTCTAGGTAAAGTAAACAATATGTTTACCATTATCAGTCAAAACCTGTCTAAACGTCTAGAAGAATCAGTTTTCTTCTTTAATTGGCAACAATTATTTAAAGTTCCACTCGCTCAAGGAGTTTGAAAGCGAAAATGGATGTGTAATTATGGTGTGTAAATGGAAGCAGCAAACAATCAACAACAAATTTCATCAGTTCTACACGGAAAAGTTGATTCGAAAAAATGTCACCATCCATTGCTAATTTAAAAAGTGAAATGTCTACTTAAGATTAAATCGTTATCATTCAAGAAACAGCTACAGTAAAGTACTGTAACAGGAATGGGTTTTAATTTTTAACCGGTTCTTGATTTCGTGATCACTACTTGTATTAAAGTCAGAGCATCATGGATCAAAAGAAGTTTAAGGATGTCTCTAAAAGGTGGCACCAAATTGATAATACATCCTTACCACTGCAAGCATTGGGATCGGTCGTGTCTTCTTCATATCCAGAGTTACATGTACAGCTGTAAGAGCCATCTGTGTTCAAACACCCTCCATTTACTCGATCACAGTTCGATGAATCGTCGCATTCGTTCACGTCTAGGTAAAGTAAACAATATGTTTACCATTATCAGTCAAAACTTGTCAAAACGTCTAGAAGAATCAGTTTTCTTCTTTAATTGGCAACAATTATTTAAAGTTCCACTCGCTCAAGGAGTTTGAAAGCGAAAATGGATGTGTAATTATGGTGTGTAAATGGAAGCAGCAAACAATCAACAACAAATTTCATCAGTTCTACACGGAAAAGTTGATTCGAAAAAATGTCACCATCCATTGCTAATTTAAAAAGTGAAATGTCTACTTAAGATTAAATCGTTATCATTCAAGAAACAGCTACAGTAAAGTACTGTAACAGGAATGGGTTTTAATTTTTAACTGGTTCTTGATTTCGTGATCATGCACTACTTGTATTAAAGTCAGAGCATCATGGATCAAAAGAAGTTTAAGGATGTCTCTAAAAGGTGGCACCAAATTGATAATACATCCTTACCACTGCAAGCATTGGGATCGGTCGTGTCTTCTTCATATCCAGAGTTACATGTACAGCTGTAAGAGCCATCTGTGTTCAAACACCCTCCATTTACTCGATCACAGTTCGATGAATCGTCGCATTCGTTCACGTCTAGGTAAAGTAAACAATATGTTTACCATTATCAGTCAAAACCTGTCTAAACGTCTAGAAGAATCAGTTTTCTTCTTTAATTGGCAACAATTATTTAAAGTTCCACTCGCTCAAGGAGTTTGAAAGCGAAAATGGATGTGTAATTATGGTGTGTAAATGGAAGCAGCAAACAATCAACAACAAATTTCATCAGTTCTACACGGAAAAGTTGATTCGAAAAAATGTTACCATCCATTGCTAATTTAAAAAGTGAAATGTCTACTTAAGATTAAATCGTTATCATTCAAGAAACAGCTACAGTAAAGTACTGTAACAGGAATGGGTTTTAATTTTAAACCGGTTCTTGATTTCGTGATCATGCACTACTTGTATTAAAGTCAGAGCATCATGGATCAAAAGAAGTTTAAAGATGTCTCTAAAAGGTGGCACCAAATTGATAATACATCCTTACCACTGCAAGCATTGGGATCGGTCGTGTCTTCTTCATATCCAGAGTTACATGTACAGCTGTAAGAGCCATCTGTGTTCAAACACCCTCCATTTACTCGATCACAGTTCGATGAATCGTCGCATTCGTTCACGTCTAGGTAAAGTAAACAATATGTTTACCATTATCAGTCAAAACTTGTCAAAACGTCTAGAAGAATCAGTTTTCTTCTTTAATTGGCAACAATTATTTAAAGTTCCACTCGCTCAAGGAGTTTGAAAGCGAAAATGGATGTGTAATTATGGTGTGTAAATGGAAGCAGCAAACAATCAACTACAAATTTCATCAGTTCTACACGGAAAAGTTGATTCGAAAAAATGTCACCATCCATTGCTAATTTAAAAAGTGAAATGTCTACTTAAGATTAAATCGTTATCATTCAAGAAACAGCTACAGTAAAGTACTGTAACAGGAATGGGTTTTAATTTTAAACCGGTTCTTGATTTCGTGATCATGCACTACTTGTATTAAAGTCAGAGCATCATGGATCAAAAGAAGTTTTAAGATGTCTCTAAAAGTTGGCACCAAATTGATAATACATCCTTACCACTGCAAGCATTGGGATCGGTCGTGTCTTCTTCATATCCAGTGTTACATGTACAGCTGTAAGAGCCATCTGTGTTCAAACACCCTCCATTTACTTGATCACAGTTCGATGAATCGTCGCATTCGTTCACGTCTAGGTAAAGTAAACAATATGTTTACCATTATCAGTCAAAACTTGTCTAAACGTCTAGAAGAATCAGTTTTCTTCTTTAATTGGCAACAATTATTTAAAGTTCCACTCGCTCAAGGAGTTTGAAAGCGAAAATGGATGTGTAATTATGGTGTGTTAATGGAAGCAGCAAACAATCAACAACAAATTTCGTCAGTTCTACACGGAAAAGTTGATTCGAAAAAATGTCACCATCCATTGCTAATTTAAAAAGTGAAATGTCTACTTAAGATTAAATCGTTATCATTCAAGAAACAGCTACAGTAAAGTACTGTAACAAACAAACAAACAAACAAATTGAAAATAGCTAAAGTAATCCCTGTATTCAAGAAGAATGATCGTAAGAACATTGAGAATTATAGACCAATTGCTTTGTTACCCATATTTTCAAAAATTCTAGAGAAAATAGTGTATAAAAGGTTGGATGACTTCCTTCGACTTCATGATATTCTGATCCCACAACAATTTGGCTTTCGAAAGAATTGCTCTACAAGTATGGGTGTCTTGAATTTGGTAAACACTATTATAAATGCAATTGATGCTGGGAAGTTTTGTCTTGGTGTGTTTTTGGATTTATCGAAAGCATTCGACACTATTGATCATGATATATTATTAAGCAAGCTTGAGCATTATGGCATTCGTGGGATAGCTTTGAAATGGTTTAAAAATTACTTACATAATCGATTACAGTATGTAGTGGTTAATGGAGTTAAATCACAATCTAGGAAGGTAAAATATGGCGTACCCCAAGGCTCAGTCCTGGGCCCCTTATTGTTCTTGATTTATATTAATGATATTATAAACTCATCTCAGTTGTTTACTTATTCACTTTTTGCTGATGATACTTGCTTGCTCTCTCACCACAAAGACATGCATAATCTGATTTTGTCTGCAAATAATGAAGTTCACAATATATTTAAGTGGTTTTGTTGCAACAAACTTTTGTTAAATGCTAGTAAGACTCAATATGTTGTTTTTAGATCAAGGGGCAAAAGAATCCCAGATAATATTGACCCCCTGACAATAGGTGGTCATCTGATCAACCGGAGTCAAAATGTAAGGTTTCTTGGAGTTACAGTTGATGATCATTTAACTTGGAAAGATCACCTCAGCAATGTTTGTACCAAGGTCTCGAGGAGTGTTGGTGTGATTTTTAAGTTACGCTTTTTTTTACCAGAGCAAACTTTAGTAACTCTTTATAATGCTATCATTATGCCTCACTTAACTTATTGTAATGTTGCATGGGGAAATACGTATAGGAGCCATATAAACAAGTTAATAGTCCTTCAGAAGAAAGCTATCAGGCTCATTACAAATTCAAATTACAGAAGTCCAAGTAATCCTTTATTTGTGCAACTTCAGATGTTGCCTCTTGATGAATTAGTCTCCATGAATTGTTTGATATTCATGTACAAATCTCAATCTGCTCAAAATAATTCATTTTTAAAAGATGCGTTTATTGTTAATTCGACTGTCCATTCGTACAACACACGTCAGAGAAATCTTTTCCATCAGCCGTTTGCGAGAACACAAACTGCTTCGAACTCTTTTGTAATTAATTGTATCAAAGAATGGAATAAGTTGCCACAAAACATCAGATCCAGTCCAACACTACCTGTGTTTAAACATACATGTCGAGAATATCTTTTTGAGAGATTACAAAATATGTTAAAGTAAATCCTGGAAAGCCATGTGTGTATGTGTGTATGTGGGTGTGTCTGTGTGTGTGTGCGTGGGTGTGTATGTGTATGTGTGTTATCTTTTTTTCTGTTCCCATATTTACTCATTAGTTATCATTGTAAATATGTTTTTGTCATCGGTTATTCTAAATACTGTTATTTTGTTTTTGTTTATGTACCTTTTAAGGGGCCCCTTATCACAAGCTCTGCTTCTCCGGGGTCCCAAACCTATCATGTTTTTTATTTCTTTTGTGTCAATTGATTGTAAAATGTTGTGTTTGATTGGTTTGAATAAACTTGAACTTGAACTTGAACTTGTAACAGGAATGGGTTTTAATTTTAAACCGGTTCTTGATTTCGTGATCATGCACTACTTGTATTAAAGTCAGAGCATCATGGATCAAAAGAAGTTTAAGGATGTCTTCAAAAGGTGGCACCAAATTGATAATACATCCTTACCACTGCAAGCATTGGGATCGGTCGTGTCTTCTTCATATCCAGAGTTACATGTACAGCTGTAAGAGCCATCTGTGTTCAAACACCCTCCATTTACTCGATCACAGTTCGATGAATCGTCGCATTCGTTCACGTCTAGGTAAAGTAAACAATATGTTTACCATTATCAGTCAAAACTTGTCTAAACGTCTAGAAGAATCAGTTTTCTTCTTTAATTGGCAACAATTATTTAAAGTTCCACTCGCTCAAGGAGTTTGAAAGCGAAAATGGATGTGTAATTATGGTGTGTAAATGGAAGCAGCAAACAATCAATAACAAATTTCGTCAGTTCTACACGGAAAAGTTGATTCGAAAAAATGTCACCATCAATTGCTAATTTAAAAAGTGAAATGTCTACTTAAGATTAAATCGTTATCATTCAAGAAACAGCTACAGTAAAGTACTGTAACAGGAATGGGTTTTAATTTTAAACCGGTTCTTGATTTCGTGATCATGCACTACTTGTATTAAAGTCAGAGCATCATGGATCAAAAGAAGTTTAAAGATGTCTCTAAAAGGTGGCACCAAATTGATAATACATCCTTACCACTGCAAGCATTGGGATCGGTCGTGTCTTCTTCATATCCAGAGTTACATGTACAGCTGTAAGAGCCATCTGTGTTCAAACACCCTCCATTTACTCGATCACAGTTCGATGAATCGTCGCATTCGTTCACGTCTAGGTAAAGTAAACAATATGTTTACCATTATCAGTCAAAACTTGTCTAAACGTCTAGAAGAATCAGTTTTCTTCTTTAATTGGCAACAATTATTTAAAGTTCCACTCGCTCAAGGAGTTTGAAAGCGAAAATGGATGTGTAATTATGGTGTGTAAATGGAAGCAGCAAACAATCAACAACAAATTTCGTCAGTTCTACACGGAAAAGTTGATTCGAAAAAATGTCACCATCCATTGCTGATTTAAAAAGTGAAATGTCTACTTAAGATTAAATCGTTATCATTCAAGAAACAGCTACAGTAAAGTACTGTAACAGGAATGGGTTTTAATTTTAAACCGGTTCTTGATTTCGTGATCATGCACTACTTGTATTAAAGTCAGAGCATCATGGATCAAAAGAAGTTTAAAGATGTCTCTAAAAGGTGGCACCAAATTGATAATACATCCTTACCACTGCAAGCATTGGGATCGGTCGTGTCTTCTTCATATCCAGAGTTACATGTACAGCTGTAAGAGCCATCTGTGTTCAAACACCGTCCATTTACTCGATCACAGTTCGATGAATCGTCGCATTCGTTCACGTCTAGGTAAAGTAAACAATATGTTTACCATTATCAGTCAAAACTTGTCTAAACGTCTAGAAGAATCAGTTTTCTTCTTTAATTGGCAACAATTATTTAAAGTTCCACTCGCTCAAGGAGTTTGAAAGCGAAAATGGATGTGTAATTATGGTGTGTAAATGGAAGCAGCAAACAATCAACAACAAATTTCGTCAGTTCTACACGGAAAAGTTGACTCGAAAAAATGTCACCATCCATTGCTAATTTAAAAAGTGAAATGTCTACTTAAGATTAAATCGTTATCATTCAAGAAACAGCTACAGTAAAGTACTGTAACAGGAATGGGTTTTAATTTTAAACCGGTTCTTGATTTCGTGATCATGCACTACTTGTATTAAAGTCAGAGCATCATGGATCAAAAGAAGTTTAAAGATGTCTCTAAAAGGTGGCACCAAATTGATAATACATCCTTACCACTGCAAGCATTGGGATCGGTCGTGTCTTCTTCATATCCAGAGTTACATGTACAGCTGTAAGAGCCATCTGTGTTCAAACACCCTCCATTTACTCGATCACAGTTCGATGAATCGTCGCATTCGTTCACGTCTAGGTAAAGTAAACAATATGTTTACCATTATCAGTCAAAACTTGTCTAAACGTCTAGAAGAATCAGTTTTCTTCTTTAATTGGCAACAATTATTTAAAGTTCCACTCGCTCAAGGAGTTTGAAAGCGAAAATGGATGTGTAATTATGGTGTGTAAATGGAAGCAGCAAACAATCAACAACAAATTTCGTCAGTTCTACACGGAAAAGTTGATTCGAAAAAATGTCACCATCCATTGCTAATTTAAAAAGTGAAATGTCTACTTAAGATTAAATCGTTATCATTCAAGAAACAGCTACAGTAAAGTACTGTAACAGGAATGGGTTTTAATTTTAAACCGGTTCTTGATTTCGTGATCATGCACTACTTGTATTAAAGTCAGAGCATCATGGATCAAAAGAAGTTTAAAGATGTCTCTAAAAGGTGGCACCAAATTGATAATACATCCTTACCACTGCAAGCATTGGGATCGGTCGTGTCTTCTTCATATCCAGAGTTACATGTACAGCTGTAAGAGCCATCTGTGTTCAAACACCCTCCATTTACTCGATCACAGTTCGATGAATCGTCGCATTCGTTCACGTCTAGGTAAAGTAAACAATATGTTTACCATTATCAGTCAAAACTTGTCTAAACGTCTAGAAGAATCAGTTTTCTTCTTTAATTGGCAACAATTATTTAAAGTTCCACTCGCTCAAGGAGTTTGAAAACGAAAATGGATGTGTAATTATGGTGTGTAAATGCATGGAAGCAGCAAAAAATCAACAACAAATTTCGTCAGTTCTACACGGAAAAGTTGATTCGAAAAAATGTCACCATCCATTGCTAATTTAAAAAGTGAAATGTCTACTTAAGATTAAATCGTTATCATTCAAGAAACAGCTACAGTAAAGTACTGTAACAGGAATGGGTTTTAATTTTAAACCGGTTCTTGATTTCGTGATCATGCACTACTTGTATTAAAGTCAGAGCATCATGGATCAAAAGAAGTTTAAGGATGTCTCTAAAAGGTGGCACCAAATTGATAATACATCCTTACCACTGCAAGCATTGGGATCGGTCGTGTCTTCTTCATATCCAGAGTTACATGTACAGCTGTAAGAGCCATCTGTGTTCAAACATCCTCCATTTACTCGATCACAGTTCGATGAATCGTCGCATTCGTTCACGTCTAGGTAAAGTAAACAATATGTTTACCATTATCAGTCAAAACTTGTCTAAACGTCTAGAAGAATCAGTTTTCTTCTTTAATTGGCAACAATTATTTAAAGTTCCACTCGCTCAAGGAGTTTGAAAGCGAAAACGGATGTGTAATTATGGTGTGTAAATGGAAGCAGCAAACAATAAACAACAAATTTCGTCAGTTCTACACGGAAAAGTTGATTCGAAAAAATGTCACCATCCATTGCTAATTTAAAAAGTGAAATGTCTACTTAAGATTAAATCGTTATCATTCAAGAAACAGCTACAGTAAAGTACTGTAACAGGAATGGGTTTTAATTTTAAACCGGTTCTTGATTTCGTGATCATGCACTACTTGTATTAAAGTCAGAGCATCATGGATCAAAAGAAGTTTAAAGATGTCTCTAAAAGGTGGCACCAAATTGATAATACATCCTTACCACTGCAAGCATTGGGATCGGTCGTGTCTTCTTCATATCCAGAGTTACATGTACAGCTGTAAGAGCCATCTGTGTTCAAACACCCTCCATTTACTCGATCACAGTTCGATGAATCGTCGCATTCGTTCACGTCTAGGTAAAGTAAACAATATGTTTACCATTATCAGTCAAAACTTGTCTAAACGTCTAGAAGAATCAGTTTTCTTCTTTAATTGGCAACAATTATTTAAAGTTCCACTCGCTCAAGGAGTTTGAAAGCGAAAATGGATGTGTAATTATGGTGTGTAAATGGAAGCAGCAAACAATAAACAACAAATTTCGTCAGTTCTACACGGAAAAGTTGATTCGAAAAAATGTCACCATCCATTGCTAATTTAAAAAGTGAAATGTCTACTTAAGATTAAATCGTTATCATTCAAGAAACAGCTACAGTAAAGTACTGTAACAGGAATGGGTTTTAATTTTAAACCGGTTCTTGATTTCGTGATCATGCACTACTTGTATTAAAGTCAGAGCATCATGGATCAAAAGAAGTTTAAAGATGTCTCTAAAAGGTGGCACCAAATTGATAATACATCCTTACCACTGCAAGCATTGGGATCGGTCGTGTCTTCTTCATATCCAGAGTTACATGTACAGCTGTAAGAGCCATCTGTGTTCAAACACCCTCCATTTACTCGATCACAGTTCGATGAATCGTCGCATTCGTTCACGTCTAGGTAAAGTAAACAATATGTTTACCATTATCAGTCAAAACTTGTCTAAACGTCTAGAAGAATCAGTTTTCGTCTTTAATTGGCAACAATTATTTAAAATGAACGAATTTTTGTTCACTTTTTCTCAAAATTTCATCAAACTGATTCCTTGATTTTTCTTACACATCTCCACACACTACCACCCACATATCTGATTTATCGATCTCTGTTCTACACACGCCCTCCTCTCTCCAGTCTCTTCATTCAATTAGGAATGGCGGCCACTCTAGAAAAATAATTGAAACAAAGGAAAACAAGATATGCAAATGTATTATACAATTTAATATGTACCACTGAATACAAATAAATACGACTGTGTACAAATCTATTACTATTACGAAGATAAATTCATCTTCATTTAACAGCTAAACGAAGATAAATTTATCCTCATTTAACAGCTAAACGAAGATAAATTTATCTTCATTTAACAGCTAAATGAAGATAAATTCATCTTCGTTTAACGGCTAAACGAAGATAAATTTATCTTCGTTTAGCTGTTAAATGAAGATAAATTTATCTTCGTTTAGCCGTTAAATGAAGATAAATTTATCTTCATTTAGCCGTTAAATGAAGATACCGGAAAGCGAAAGCGACCACAGTGAACTCGTCTTCTTCTTCGTCGTCGTAGCCATCTCGACGAAGGCGAAACTAACTCTGGCAGGTTCTGAATTCAATGAAATCAAATTCAAAACGCGTTATGAAAGCAAAACGTAACAGCTTATGGACTATTAACAACCGCGATTGACGACGTCGTATCGAAGAGTGATCATGGCGCATGTATTACTTGAGTTGTTCTTGCCCAAACTTTGTTGTAGAGGCGGCTAGATCAAACAGAGCTTTGTTTGTACAAGCAATAGACGCTTGGCCGCTCGCGGCTATTGTCCTCTCTGTACTGGGTTTTGTTGTAGCTAGTCTGCAGACACATACCCTTGACAGCCATTATGAGTAAAAACAATGTCTAAATTTCAAACATGAAAGTACTGAGTTATGTCGTGTAGCTGCTTCTGACACAGTGGAATACTGGAAAATAAACATAACACATCAAGCAGAATCTGATTCTCCTGATTATTGCATGTGGTTTTATTCAAGAGTAAAGTTGAGTCTGTGTTATACAGACTAGGTTTGAGTTGGTGAATAGATAGAACTGATAATCCCCGTGCAACCGGCTAACGATGGTCTGGGGAGAATATGTGTGTATCATCTATCTGGTGTATCTGTACATGGAGGTAAATGGGTGTATCATAATCGTAAAATGCAAACCTTTTAACAATCTATCAGGGTGGTTACTTAATTTGCAAAATTTCACCTTTCAGAAAGAAAACGTGCATTTTTTCTAAAAATAGAAGATTAAGACACAGGATGGGGCTGCATTGGGCTAAATAGCTAGGCCTCTATAAAGTATAATGTTTAATAATATCAGGGAACCAGCTGTGTGCCCGGCCGCAAAATATATGAGCAATAATTATCTTTAAAAATGCAAATACATGTATTTCACTTTGACTATTAAGAGCATAAATCGGAGGGAAAGTTGAAAACAAACGATACTAATTGTATGTGCTTGAAAACTTGACTTTTCTAACTTTCGCTGAATATCCGTGTTTAAAATTTGTAAACTTTGCAGAGTTCAGAATGGGCCTTTGGACAGCATACGGTCTGGATATGTAATTCCTTTCTTGTTCAAAATCTTAATCGATGTTTTGTGGAGTTCATCGGCATGCGAAAGTGTCTTTAGTTACAAACCCAAGCATGATATATGATCGATGGCCCATAGGAAGTGCAACTAAATCGTTCAGACAACCATGCCTATATTTAATAGAAAGTATAAACCAAATATGAGTACCCGCCCCCCCCCCCTCCGGGTCCCCATCACGGAACCTCATGAGCATCTCTTAGGTCAGTAGGCTGAATATAAAAGTGGAGGTACTATGGGAATTGGAATAGCCCCCGACGGGGGCTGATCAAAGATTTTCCAACAATAATAATTATGAATACGACGCCCTGAAATTTGAAAATCACGCAAATTCCAGGGATTCCCTTCAATTTGCGCAAGCGGCCGCTTCCGAAGCAGAAGTGACAATAATCATAAACAGTAGGCCAGCTATCAGGGTGTGTACATCCACTAACTCGACAGTGGCGGATCCGGGGGGGCGCCCCCTCCCCCTTATTATTATGATCATTAGTAGGGGTCTAGTAGTAGTATTTTAATAGTAGTAGTATTCCAAAGGGGCGGCTTTCCGGGGTGGAGGGGGGGGGGGGGGGGAACGTTCCCCCTCGATTTTCTTTTAGAGAGGGGGGGGGGGTCGTTCCCGCCGGAAATTTTGAAAAAGTGCACGCAAGAAATATATAGCAAATACTGAGTCTAAACGCTGCATTATTGGGCCCTCCAGAGCCTAAAAGTGTGATGCAGTCTTTAGTCAGTATTTGCTATACATTTCTTGTGTGCACTTTTTCAAAATTTCCGGCGGGAACGACCCCCCCCCTCTCTAAAATAAAATCGAGGGGGAACGTGCCCCCCCCCCCCACGGATCGCCGCGCCGCCCCTCGGACTACTGATACTAGACTTCTACTATCGATTATGATAATAATAACAATAATAATAATAATAATAACAATCGGGGGCTGCAGGGAAGGGGGGTGGCTCTGTAAATGGAAATAATAATTCGGGCTAACTCGGACTTATAGGGACAACTCAGCCCGATAATTCCTTCTTGGGCATGCAATGATGTATAAAGGTGAGCAATAAATCCGAGGAACTCTTTAAATAAGTTTTTGCTGGTAATCGGAAAGTGTTGTAAATCCCAAGCTCGGGAGCCGGTATTGGATAGAGGGGGGCGATTGCAAGTAAAATGCCCAGCGGAATATTCGTCCTCTATATATAATATAGCCAATCCTTGGACAACACCCTCACTCATTTTGGGGGGGTGGGAGGGGGGGGGGGTGAGCACATTTTGTTGGGGGGCCGGGGCCTCGAAAATGTGCAGCCCCCTCCCTTTGAGAGCCAGGGGGGGGGCCATTTCCCAAAAAGGTAAAATTTACGTTTTTTTACACGTTTTCCCCGGATCCGCCACTATGTCGAGTCAGCTGGTTGTACACACCCTGATAGATTTGATTTGATTTTATTTTATTCAGACAATATAAAAATATATACATGTCTTGGGTTACAAAACAAGGTTTAGAAAAACCCATACAGGTTTGCAACCCAGATATGAACAGTAAAATGGCATACATAATTACACAGTAAATACTGATACATAAAATATCGAAGCATGACATAGGTTATAGTTCAATATAAATACAACAACAGAAATATAAGTTAGAAATTGCAAGACACTTCTATTTCAAAAATCTAGATTGAGATGTTTTACCAGAGCCGATTTAAAGGTATTTAGCGATTGACTGTTTACTACTGTTTGTGGGAGTTGATTCCATTCATTAATTGTTTGGGGATAAAAGGATTTCATATAATAGTCTGTTCTGGCATATGGAACGTGCATCTTCAAAGTATTATCATTTCTTCCTATTCTGTTCGCTCGTGTGCACCTATTTCCTTCTCCTACATTAATCAAGTTATTTACAATCTTATAGTAAAAAAACAAGTCTATGGTACTTCGTCTATTTTCTAATAAATTCATGTTGACATTTTGTAATAACACGTTATAACTCGTAGACCAATCCTTACACATCATCCTTACGTAACGTTTTTGAATACGTTCAATCCTCTCTTTGTGTGTGTTTCTATAGGGATCCCATGCTGTACAACAATATTCTAAACGTGAGCGAATTAGTGATTCAAAAAGACTTTTTAAAATAGACGCTGGAGTATTACTGTTTATGGTTATTGTCACTTCTTCTTCGGAAGCGGCCGCTCGCGCAAATTGAAGGGAATCCCTGAAATTTGCGTAATTTTCAAATTTCAGGGCGTCATATTCATAATTATTATTGTTTGGAAATCTGATCAGCCCCCGTCGGGTGCTATTCCAATTCCCATAGTACCTCCACTATATACAGCCTATTGACCTAAGAGATGTTACTCATGAGGTTCCGTGATGGGGACCCGGAGGGGGGGGGGCGGGTACTCATATTTGGTTTATACTTTCTATTAAATATAGGCATGGTTGTCTGCACGATTTAGTTGCACTTCCTATGGGCCATCGATCATATATCATGCTTGGGTTTGTAACTAAAGACAGTTTCGCATGCCGATGAACTCCACAAAACATCGATTAAGATTTTGAACAAGAAAGGAATTACATATCCAGACCGTATGCTGTCCAAAGGCCCATTCTGAACTCTGCAAAGTTTACAAATTTTAAACACGGATATTCAGCGAAAGTTAGAAAAGTCAAGTTTTCAAGCACATACAATTAATATCGTTTGTTTTCAACTTTCCCTCCGATTTATGCTCTTAATAGTCAAAGTGAAATACATGTATTTGCATTTTTAAAGATAATTATTGCTCATATATTTTGCGGCCGGGCACACAGCTGGTTCCCTAATATTATTAAACATTATACTTTATAGAGGCCTAGCTATTTAGCCCAATGCAGCCCCATCCTGTGTCTTGTCTTCTATTTTTAGAAAAAATGCACGTTTTCTTTCTGAAAGGTGAAATTTTGCAAATTAAGTAATCACCCTGATAGATTGTTAAAAGGTTTGCATTTTACGATTATGATACACCCATTTACCTCCATTTACAGATACACCAGATAGATGATACACACATATTCTCCCCAGACCATCGTTAGCCGGTTGCACGGGGATTATCAGTTCTATCTATTCACCAACTCAAACCTAGTCTGTATAACACAGACTCAACTTTACTCTTGAATAAAACCACATGAAATAATCAGGAGAATCAGATTCTGCTTGATGTGTTATGTTTATTTTCCAGTATTCCACTGTGTCAGAAGCAGCTACATGACATAACTAAGTACTTTCATGTTTGAAATTTAGACATTGTTTTTACTCATAATGGCTGTCAAGGGTATGTGTCTGCAGACTAGCTACAACAAAACCCAGTACAGAGAGGACAATAGCCGCGAGCGGCCAAGCGTCTATTGCTTGTACAAACAAAGCTCTGTTTGATCTAGCCGCCTCTACAACAAAGTTTGGGCAAGAACAACACAAGTAATACATGCGCCATGATCACTCTTCGATACGACGTCGACAATCGCGGTTGTTAATTGTCCATAAGCTGTTACGTTTTGCTTTCATAATGCGTTTTGAATTTGATTTCATTGAATTCGGAACCTGCCAGAGTTAGTTTCGCCTTCGTCGAGATGGCTACGACGACGAAGAAGAAGACGAGTTCACTGTGGTCGCTTTCGCTTTCCGGTATCTTCATTTAACGGCTAAATGAAGATAAATTTATCTTCATTTAACGGCTAAACGAAGATAAATTTATCTTCATTTAACAGCTAAACGAAGATAAATTTATCTTCATTTAACAGCTAAATGAAGATAAATTTATCCTCATTTAACAGCTAAACGAAGATAAATTTATCTTCATTTAGCTGTTAAATGAAGATAAATTTATCTTCGTTTAGCTGTTAAATGAGGATAAATTTATCTTCGTTTAGCTGTTAAATGAAGATGAATTTATCTTCGTAATAGTAATAGATTTGTACACAGTCGTATTTATTTGTATTCAGTGGTACATATTAAATTGTATAATACATTTGCATATCTTGTTTTCCTTTGTTTCAATTATTTTTCTAGAGTGACCGCCATTCCTAATTGAATGAAGAGACTGGAGAGTGGAGAGCGTGTGTAGAACAGAGATCGATAAATCAGATATGTGGGTGGTAGTGTGTGGAGATGTGTAAGAAAAATCAAGGAATCAGTTTGATGAAATTTTGAGGAAAAGTGAACAAAAATTCGTTCATTTTGAAAAGATATACTGTTTCTATCAAAAACAGCTCGTAATTTGGGTGTAATATTTGATCAGGAAATGTCCTTACCTAGTCATATAGCACATGTTCAACAATAACGTAATCTAAGTTTCATAAGAAAGTGTTTATCTAAACCTGCGGCTGAGATCTTGATTCATGCTTTGATTTATTCTCGTTTAGATTTTTTCAAATTCATTGTTCTGAAACCTTCAAAAAAAGATGTCACAAAACTTCAACGACTTCAAAATTCTGCAGCCCGCCTATTAACGTTCACTAAGAAATCTGATTCCATATCACCAATTTTCCGTTTTTTCCATTGGTTGCCAGTAGGCAAAAGGATTATTTTTAAAACGAAGTCTTCGCTCCTCATCAGACACGCTATTACTTATTAAAAGATAAACTCCAGTTCTGGTTTTAAAAAAATAAATAATAATAATCTCATAGAATCAAACGAAACTTCCACTAAATGTTCACGATTACAAATAAATGATATGTGCCAAACAATTTTGGAAGAAAATGTGTACTGGCTGAGTAATGAGCATAGAAAGACAAGGAAATCAAGGTAGTACTAGCCCCGACACTATTTGTGTTGTCCCATATATAGCTTTCTGTGTACAGTGTTTGTTACTTTACCAAGACTTGGCCAAATTTATTATGATTTTGATGACTCCAGAACCTTGCAGTGCACACAAATACTTACATGCTACATGATCAACTGTTTCTGATCCATTCCACACCTTTCTTTCACGATGCAATCGCATTACCAGAACTCGTCTTTATCTTTAATACTCCCAGAATAAAACATGCTTGGGGCGAACGGGCTTTCTCAGCCATGGGTCCAAAACTCTGGAATAAGCTCTTTATGCGATAAAGTAAACAGTCGTCAACAGAAACATTCAAATTACAACTGAAAACTTATTTGTTTATTTCGTTGTAATTATTGCAATATTCTAATTTACTATGTCTAGGAGAATTTCGAATTTTGTTTTTCGGTTTATTGTTTTTTCTTTCTTATATCTGTTACATGCACTTTTCTTTAAAGGAAACCATAACCTTCATAATAAGTTACTTTTATTGTAAAGTTTAAAAGATTTGAATAAAATCAGTGAAAATTTGAACAAAATTGGGCAAAGAATAAGGAAGTAAGAGCTTTTTGAAATGACTAGTCACTAGAGGGCGGTATTCAATTTGATGACATCATCTGTGAACAACTCTCCATGCCTTTTGTACATAAAATTTCACCATTTTTTTGTTTTCTTCGTATTTATTTGTGTTCTTGATCCGACTTCATAACATGTGAAGTAGAATATCATTTTGCATTCTATATCTTGCTTTCGGGGGAGTACATTATCTCAATCACAAGAAAGAAGGAAAAACATGAAATTTGATGTACAAAAGGCATGGAGAGTTGTCCACAGATGATGTCATCAAATTGAATACCGCCCTCTATTGACTAGTCATTTAAAAAAGCTCTTACTTCCTTATTCCTTGCCCGATTTTGTTAAAATTGTCACTGATATTTTTCAAATATCTTAAACTTTACAATAAAAGTAACTTAGTATAAAGGTTTTGGTTACTTTAAGCGCCATGAGCACCGAAAGCTGGACTTGTGCGCTATACAAGTAGCCACTATTATTATTATTATTAATATCTGGGGCAGTACTCTGAAAACTATGTTAACTTCTATGTGTCCCACAGTTAACATACCCTTAACAAACCTCTTAATCTGTATTATGAAAGCTATGTCCAGGGTATGTTATTATTTTTTAGGTTATGCCCCTGACATGCCCATTTTTAATTCATTCTCCAATGAGACTCAGATCTCTCAGCCAATCATGTTTCATAATTGACTTTTTTAAATTTAAGAACCACATTTCATCCAGCAGAGATGTAGTCATAACAAATATTATCTGGAAATATATCAGGCATATCTTAAGGTATTGAACTCGACAATAATTTACAGTCCTCTGCCTAAAAACAAAGGGACCTCATAACTCGAGTTTCATAGCCATATCTCTGAACATAGCAGACTCTGGGTACAACGAGCTTTGACTGCAAATATGGGGACAGGATCATGATAATCGCATGCTTCTTGTTAATTTCAATTTGGAGTGAGAGATGAATATTGGAACTTGTAACATACACAAATGTCATAATTGGCTTAGAGTTGTTCCCTAAGTCACAAAATATGATTGCACTAGGAGACTAAGAAGTTTTTAAGCTCATGACCATATTTAGATGTTCTAAGAAAGACAACAAAATGTTCGTGCCTCGTGGTAAGATGTCAACTTCTTTGAGTAATGTTTTTCTCACTGCCCTATATAGACGTCAAGTGGAGATGTACCAGAAGGAGGCTCGAAAGCACGAGAACTCCCTCATATGTGAGCACATTGTCCCCATCAAAGGGTTTGTGGAGTGTGAAGACGATGCATGTAACTGTGGCCTTATTGGTATCGTCATGAAATACATGGAGAATGGATCTCTTTGGGACTTCCGCACTACTAAATGGCAACAGCACCCCGACCTCTTGCCTCTGACCAACAGGATGGTCTATGAAATGTCGTCTGGAATGTATTTTCTCCACTCAAAAAATATCATCCACCGGGATCTCAAGCTGGAGAACGTTCTAGTAGATGGTGATCTTCAAGTCAAGGTAACATTCTTCACCTGTCATCTATGCAGCGTTTCATGAAACCATCATAAGTACTTAAGATATCACATTAACACTTGTATTGTAATTTACACACATTTCAGTGGGATGTCGGTTAACTTGTACTTATGACTGTTTCATGAAACAATGCCCTGCTATTTATTTCAATTCTGAAGGAAAAACTTTGGAGCACCATCAGAGAAGATTGAAATAGAAGAAATCTGACAAACTGCTTTTTGAGGATTACGGTACTAAAAAAATATTTCTTGGCTGTTATGGACTGCATTCTATATATATATATATATATATATATATTAGCATGATATAATATCTTTAGTTCCATGCCTAATATTAATGAATCTTGTCTAGCTGCACGAATTAAATTATCTTCATTGACTGTGATTCAGTTACAGATTGCTCACACGATCCCTACGAAATGAATTATCCAAACGTTTCACTTGATTATGACCTTGTACTGACAAGGTTTCCAGGAGGAATTGAGGGACCCTCACATGTTTGATGGTGTCCTTGCCTGGCCCTTGTACCTACATGTAGATTTGTCACTAAATCTACAAAAAAGAATATTCAATTAATCTTCTTCTTTTTTAAATATTGATTTGTGAATTGAAAAGTGCTTTATTATATTTGAAAGATAGGCTAGTTTAATATCACACATCATAATAGAGCTTGCAGCTGAACTTATTATTGGAAGATGGGGAAGCATCTAAGATTCCAAAGAATTCTCCTTTATGAAATCGAACAAAGATCTCATAAACTTTCCTGTCAAACAAGATTATTATTACCTTCACTATTCGAGACACATCAATCTAGAATAGTGTGATATGAATCTGAAAGTGTTCTCTCTCTCTCTCTCTGCTGATGACACGTACAGATTGCAGATCTTGGCCTTGCAACCAATCTCCAAACTTCATTTGGTGATAGGTGTTGGGGCACAGACAGTCACAAGCCGCCAGAAGCTTTTAGAACAGACTTACCCAACTCAACTAAGATTGTTACTCCAAAGTATGATGTCTACGGGTAAGAAAATATAATTCATCTAAATCCTCAGAAGTCCATTAAATCAAAGAACAGAAATGGATTTTAATTTTAAGGTGTGTTTTTGATTTAGTGATCATGCATAATAATAATACATTCTTACCAGTGCAAGAAATGTCATCGGTGCCTAGTACATTGCATTGAACAAAGACAGTCACACACGCGCACACGCACACACACACATGCACGCACACACAATACACACAGCACACATGGTGACAATTGTTTCATAATTACCCCTTTTTTGATTGTGTATTGATTTTTATCAAGATCGCTGAATATTTAAGTGGCATAACCCTAAAAAACCTTTTCCTTTTGTACACATTCACTACCACATCATGTCATCATCATCATCATTACGTTTTTACGCGTTTTAAAAAAACCTGGTTTGTAAAAACTTGTCGAAACGCGTCATATGACGCACGAAAACCAAGGTTTGTCGACAAACATCCTTTGTGAATTCGGGCCTAAGTGTCTGTCCTTGCCTTTAAAGACGAGGGCAGACTCTTTTGATGAGCGAGGCCCTGGGTTTATGCAAAGTCCGACCTCCGCTCGGGGTCAGTCTAGGGTCGCACGCAACTGAGTGTATGTCCTTGCCGTTACGTAAGACAATGACAGACTCCCTAGACGAAGGTGGCCCTGGGCTAGTAGAAATTCCAGAATTGCTCGAGGACGAAAAAAACAGCGTTAACGGAGGACGCGCAGGCTCTGCCGAATTTTTTTTTGTAAATTAGTTTGACTTGCACAACAAGCAACAATATATCCCGAAATAATAATGAACTATGCACATGATACAGACATATCTAAAGTCTTACAATATGTTAAATGAGATAATTAAAAGTAACTGAATATTTTTTTTGATTTTCGTATTTTTTCCAAAATCTTCACCTTAGATAGCAAAAATATTCTTCATTAAATGTATTTTTTGAATGAAGTTTCATGTGCTCCTGCAAGAAATAAAGGGAAAGGGAAGCAAAATTTTCATTTCTAGATCACAAATCATCAAATGGACGTTTTTCACAATATCAATGCTGCTTTTAAATGACAATGCACTCCTATTATCCACATGTCTACTCGGAATCAAAAGAAGATGAGTTACTGCTCCAGATGATGGGGGAGGGGGCAAGTTTACAAAGCCAACCCTGGACCTGTTTTTAATTGCGGGTACATACCTGCCAAATGTTCCCATTTAATAGAAACATTCATGTTGGGGGAAAAGAAAAGAACATTTTCACCTTTGTATTCCTACATTATCAGATGCCTAATTTCTTATCCAAGTCATATTTTACTTATTCTTTGATCTTTTATGATTGAATTCATCTTCAACAGACTGTTAATAGTTTGACATTTTTGATATTTCATATAACATTTCCCAAACAATATTATCATAAAATATTAAAAATAATTCCTCTTTATACTACTTGTATATGTATTGAAGAATTTGTTTTAATTTTTTTATTTCATTGTACAACACATTTTACCCTATGATATATTTAGAGTATGATCTCAGGTCAATGCATGTATGATTTATATAATGAAATAGAATAATACAATATATTTAGAATAAAATATATTAAAAATAATAATTTAAAATAAAATTAATTCAAAATATATTATTCAATGATTACCTTGCCCTTGGTCTGATATGAAACCGTGCCATCCTTTGACTTAGTAAGTTTTTCCTTCAGGATGCTCTTTCCAAGGGCCTCCTTTTTGGGCTGAGGAGAGATCTTCTGTTGTGATTGTATCCGTTTGTTTTGAGTAGGTGTGATCATGTTTTTCATGGATGCAAGTGTGTTGTGTCGCGTTACTGTATGTGAGTTTTTTATTAAAAATTGTACATGAGATGATGGTTGAGTGTAATGTGGTGAGGTGATAATTTTTCACAAGAGTGACTGATGTATAGTGGAGTGGTGTACGACAGATAACACATGGAACACTACCACGATTTGCACTGACAAACAACTCATGTACACAACTCAAACAAAAAACATGTTCGCAAGTACTCACACAAGGGTTTACGAGTACACTACCACATAGTTTACACGACATGAATTCTTCTGTGGGCATGAACTTAGACATTGAATACTCGGGGTAACTAGAAGAAAGTGCTGAGAAATGAGAGGTCATTGAGTGAGATGGGGTGGGTACTGGGGGTCTTCCACTTTTTTTTTTTAGGGGGGCCTGCCACCCTTGGACAAAGCAAAATTGAGTTTGCAAGTAGTACAAGACTCCTCAGTGCGTTTATGTCTCACCGAGTCATCTTTTGGCACTAATGGGTGAGACATTGGGCGCTTATTGGCATTGAGGAGCCTTGAGTAGCAGCGGAGACAAAATTGCTTTAGATGTACGAGGGGGTCATCATGTGAAAAATCATAATTAAATTTCTCCCACAACTGCAAATGATCTGAAATAAAATATAAAAAAGGCTGCTGAGAAATCCTAGCTCCTCAAAGTCTGCATACTTGGAGGAGGGCATCCCTGTCTGTCAAGACCACTCATGAATCACATTACACTATACAAGTACAACAACAATAACACGCACGTCACAATGACATACACAACAGGACGCCCAATTGCGCACATACGGTATGTAAACAAAGAGTGACCCTATTTTGATTGGAAAATTAAGTTGATCAAAACAAAATTACAGCAATAAACCAAAATAATAACCCGAGTATTCAGTATTTCAAGAAAGCAAAAATCACCAATAGATAGTACAGAAAAACTTCAACAAACGTTTAACAGAGGTTTCTGATAATGATAATGAATGGGATAATAATTTGTGTACTTAAATTACTGTTGTGATCTCTCCCTTCGTACATGAACGGGACGTCAGACGTATGAAGGGATTTGTATGAATTTATGCTTGCTTGGACCTGGGACGTTCCTGGGAGAACTTCTATTTATGCATATTCATCGTTTGCCTAAACTTTTAGGCAATCATTTACTTGTTTTAAACTTTTTCCTTTGATGATGTCAGCTCATCACAGCGTGCCTAGCAACTTCAAATCTATTTTACGTCCCGCCACGAAGTGCGCCACGCACGTGCAAAGAGTGACAATGTAAACAATGGCGCAGAGCGCTAACTGTTCGTTGGCCTATGGCCTAATTTGACTTCACATCCTTGAGTAGACTACCAGATCTAAATTGACTTCACATCCTTACCATTGCAAGCAGTGCTATCATCGTTTAATTCATATCCAGAGTCACACGGGCTACAGCTGTAAGAGCCAGGTGTGTTCGAACACATTCCATTTGCACAGAGCGTTGTATCCACCACGCACTCGTCAATATCTAAGAAAAGTAAACATTTGTTTTCACCCATAGCATGCAGTCAAGAGTTTTCTAAAGTTCTAATTGAATCAGCTTTTCATCTTAAATTTACACCAATTATTTTTTTCTCCATGCACTCTAGAATGTAGACTAGATCAAGATCTATAGAGGTAAAAAAGTAAAATGAATATCAAATGAAATCGTGAACGAATGCTACGAAAAGTCAACAAGAAATTGCCAATTTGTAAACAAAAATAGTGATTAGTCTTTACATTTTACTCTCCATTGCTAATTTAGAAAGTTAAATGTCCATTCCTGATTTAATAGTTTTCATTAAAGGCAGAGTGTACTTTAACAGAAGTGGATTTAAATTTCCTACTGACTTTTGGACTAAGATCATTCAGAGCATTCTGGATCAAAAGACTGTTAAAGATGCCACTAAAAAGTAAAATTTGACACTACTGAGTTAGACTACTAAATCTTATTTGACTTCACATCCTTACCATTGCAAGCAGTGCCATCATTAATTTATACATAACCAGAATTACAGGGGATACAGGTGTAAGAGCCATCTGTGTTCGAACACACTCTATTTGCAAAATTCTTTCATTTCGGGATGACAAATCAGCCTATGGGTTGTTTTACTTTGAAGACACTTTCGGTCGAACAGTTAAATCTTTACGATAAAGATGAAATATGCTACTCTTATCTTACCATAAAACATGTCTTAATAAATAGAGATCATTATGTGAATCACATTATTAATGCTATTCTTTTAATGACCATACACTCCTATCAATCATGTGTCTACTCGAAATCAAGATAAGTGTAGTTTCTGCTCCTAAATGTTAATAAACACTCTTAAGAAATTAAAAAATTGTTCAAATATATTTTTCTACAATTAATAACTGTTTTTAATTTGTATTTCTTTGTTCAACCTTTATTTATAATTTTGAGTTGAGCAAAAAGTGTACGTATTTTTGAGTTGAGCAAAAAGTGTACGTATGTTGGATATGATTCGAGTTAAAGCTTTACCTGTTCCACACACGGTCCCAGTATAGCCATCAACACAGGCACAAGTAAACGAGTTTACATTATCGATGCATGTTCCTTCATGCATACAAGGAGTGCTATGACATTCGTCGATATCTGTGCAAAATGAGTTTTGAAGACAACGAATGGGATAACAGTGATGAGAAAATAATTTCCAGTTTGATATTCGTTTTATTTATTTGTCCAGATAATAGGAAAATAAAGTATCAACTGGTATTTAAAATGCAATGCAATCACAGTTCAGAAATGAATTAATTTGTAAAACTATTGAAAAAAAGTCTAATGAGGTAAGTGTCTACTCAGAATCAAAAGAACAAGACTTGTCTGTACTTTTACTTCTGTTGATTCTGATGTTTGGAAAACATTATATTGTTTGTGTATCTAATGATATTATGTTTCTTTCTTTTTATCGGCGTGTTTGTCTCCGTATATTTTATTTCTTAATGAGCAACAAGTATTTTCAATTATATTTTGCTTTACATTAAAAGGGTATGCATGTAGGTATATGATCTGCTTTGACCTGATAGCTTACCTGTAGAACAACCAGGCCCAGTAAAGCCGGCATTGCAAGAAGCACATCTATAGCTGTTAACTCCATCAGTACATGTTTCATCATCCTCACAAGGACTGGTAGCACAATCGTCGATATCTGTGCAA